GTTTCCTATTTTCTGAAGGAAGCTCATATTAGCTGTGCGCCCGCTTCGCATGTATGATTCGCGAGCGGGGTAATTGAAATTCCTTTTCAGAGTTCATTTTCCTTTTTGTATCGCATTCTAATTGGTAGCCTATTGGCACATTGTGGCATCATAGGAGACTTTTGGTCATGTCGGGGTGGCTTATTGCCTGAGCAGTTTGTACTGGGTGAGACGAGATTATTGGATTTAAGATCCGTGCAATCTGATTGTATGAAGTACATTATGGAGCTAAGGCCATTATTCGGTTCAGAATGAAGTGATGGTTCTTGTCAGGAGAATAGACTCAATGATTGGTTGACTCGGTAGTTGGTTATGAATTTCTGTACATCTCATCCGTCGTGGTGGTATTGTAAGAGTTAGAGCAAGACCTGTGTGTCTTATGAGGTGAAATGGGAGCATCAGATTTGTGGAATTTCGACTATTATTCTTAGAGAATGTTATTGTGGTCCTGTGAATAAAGTGGTGCACGGTATGAATTCAGCAAAGGTGTACACTCATGTTCTGGTGCATCGTACACGGTGTTCGTATGTTGGGAACAGGTCTGGCAGAGAATTCCGGATGTTGGAATTGGGCTCTAAGGCTTATTTGCTTAAGTGAAAAAGAATATCTTCAGAGTGATCGGGCTAAGGTGCTCAGCGGAGTTGTGGTAGCACGGGTAGGTGCTCGCCGTGTTAAACAGTGATTTCGGACAACTCCAGCACAGTTCTTAGCACGTTCGAGGACGAACGTATGTTTAAGTGGGAGAGAATGTAACGACCCGATCGGTCGTTTTGAGCTCGAGCGCGTCGTTCAACAGTCTGAGGTCATGAGCAGCTTCATTTCAGGTACTATGACTTGTACGCGTGGTCGGAATTGAATTTCGGGAAGTTCGGAGTTGATTTGGAAAGAGAATTCTTATTTCGGAAGCTTATAGTTGAAAGAATTACCTAGGATTGGATTTTTCAGTAAACGACCTCGGAATCAGGATCTGAAGGTTCAAGCAGGTTCATATGATGATTTCAGACTTGGGCGTATGCCCGGTTCGGGTTTTGGATAACCCGAGAGCATTTTGGCGCCTATTGTGGAAGTTAGTATTTTGGAAGAAATTTCATAAGTTTGGGTTGAAGTGCATTTCAGTGATATCGATGTCCGTTTGGGATTCCGAGTCTGGGAGCAGCCCCGTATGGTGATTCTGGAGTTGGGAGCGCGATCGGAAGTGAATTCGGAGGTCCGTAGGTCATTTTGGAGCCATTTGGCTAAAGATAGAAATTTGAAGGTTTTTGAGAAGTTTGACCAGAAGTGGACTTTTTGATATCGGGGTCAGAATCCAATTCCGAAAGTTGGAGTAGGTCCGTAATGTCGAATGTGACTTGTGTGCAAAATTTGAGATCAATCGGACGTGATTTGATAGGTTTCGACATCGAATGTAGAAATTTGAAGTTCTAAAGTTCATTAAGCTTGAATTGGGATGTAATTCATGATTTCGATGTTGTTTGATGTGATTTGAGGCCTCGAGCAAGTCCGTGTTATGTTATGGGACTGGTTTGTGTGATTGGACGGGGCCCCGGGAGCTTCGGGTGTATTTCGGGGTGGTTTCGGATCATTTCGGGCTATTTTGAAATAGCTGATGCTGGTATCTGGTGTTGTTCTTCGCGTTCGCGAGGTTCCTCTTGCGTTCGCGAAGAAGGATTTGGCCTCAGGGACTCTGTTCTTCGCGTTCGCGGAGAGGTTCCCGCGTTCGCGTAGAAGGAAATCTCTACTGCACAGGTCTGACTTCGGAGGCTCATATCTCACAATCTATAAGAAATTTGGAGATGATCCAAAAATGAAAGTTGTAGCCCTTTGTGTCTAGCTTTCAAAAATGTAAACCATTTGGAATTCGGATTTGTGTACCAAAAGTTATGGCCGGTACACTATAGGCTGTCCGAAAAGATAAAGAAGAAATTTTTATTGCACAGGGCTGACTTTGGCAGCTTATATCTCAAATTCTATAAGGAATTGGGAGATGACCAAAATACAAAAGTTGTAGATCTTGGTTTCTAGTTTCCAAAGCATTAAACCATTTGTATTTTGGAGTTATGTACAAACGTTATGACCATTATACTAGAGGTTGTCTGAGAAGAGTATGAAAAACGATTTTTGGGAATTTTCTTCTTCGCGAACGCGATGGGTGTCTCGCGAACGCGAAGAAGACTCGTCTAGGAAGTTTATAAGTGTAAAGAAATGGGTTTGGCTCATTCATTCATTCTCTCCATGGGAGCCGACCTAGGAGCGATTTTGGAGCTCCATTTTCATCATCATGTCAAGGTAAGTGATTCCCACCTATTGCAAGTTAATTACTTGGATTATATCTAGATTTTAATATGGAAAATCATGTAAATTAGTAGAAATTTTGGAATTTTGAAGAAAACCTAGAAAATTAGTATTCTTGGATTTTGACCACGATTTTGGGTATGGAATTAGGAGAAAATCGTATATTTGAGTTCGTGAGTTCATGGGTAAACCTTATCTTCGAGAAATTTCGGAATCCGGGCACGTGGGCCCGAGGGCGTTTTTGTCAACTTTTCGATCGGGGTTAGGAATTGCTATAAATTGGATTGTAATGAGTAATTGAGCATATATTAATGGATTTGTATAATCCTTTGGCTAGTTTTTGGAGTCATTTTGCGTCGATTTAAGT